CAACAAAATAAGTAAGAAAAAAATAGTATTTAGGTATTAGCTATTCATGTATTATAAAACCCAATAAACTCATTGATTGGACTCAAGAAAATTGCATTTATTTATATTATATTTTTTTGTTATTTACAAATTTTCAGCATTTCATGTAGTAGTTGTAGTAGTAATAATAATAATACCAAACAACAACAACAACTAAAATGCTAAATATAATATTTTAAGAAAAATTGCTTTATTACAAAAAAATAATGCAATTTTATATTGTATAATATATATATATAAATATATTGGATAAAGTTTGGCTGAATTAATATTTTTTTTATATGTGTGCATAAAATATAAACTATTTTGATTTTTTTTTGATTTCAACTTCAATACTTAGCCATTAGTTTTGTTTATATATATATATATATATATATATATATATATATATATATATAAATACAATATATTGGAAACTAATATTAGAAATACATTATTTGCAATTTATATACATATACTGTATTTAAGTTTTGTTTTGTTGGTGCTATTGTTGTATTTGATAGCTATAGCAAACAACAACCAATATATTTATATACAAATCTATATATACAATATATAATATAGATATTTGTTTGCTTGATATATATACTATATATATAAGTATAAGTATAAAGTAAATGTGTGTTTTGTAGATCTAATCTTTGAAATTGTTTGATAGAGAAAAACACAGTACTGTTTCAAAAAAAAAATTACTTTATTTTCTATTATTTGTTGTGTTTGTATATATTATTTTCGTTTCATTTTTTTTGTTATTATTATTATTATTTCTTTCTTTTATATAAATATTATTTTCATTTCATTTTCAATGGCTTTTGTTTGCAACTGTCAGATATCATAGCTAGCAATCAATGCCTAATATATATATATATAAATATATATATATATACAGAATATTCTGTCTTATGTTTTTTGAATACTGAAAAATAAAATAATATTATATTTTGTTTTTTTTTTGTTATAATTTATTCTTTTGAATATTTCTTAAGATATGAAATTTTTTAACCATTTATTTTTTATATGAAACTCAATTCTCTAGTATTTTTTTTTGCTGATATTATTATTATTATTTTACAATAATATTAAGCATAAAAATGATAACTAATTTTATTTTTTTGTTTTCACACAATTTCTCAAAAGAAAGATATAATAATAATAATAATAATAGTATAAAAAGTGAAAATAATAAAATAATAATATGAAATAAAAAGTTTCTTATCATTTGATATTTGATATCTTATATTGTAAGTTAAAATTTATACAATTATTTAGCACATATAAAGATAGCACAGTTAGAATAATACAAAAAAAAATAAAAAAATAAAAATCAATGAAAAAAATTTACATTTATATAAATTTATGAAAATTGTTCAACAAATCTAGAAATTTTTTTCATATATTAAATAAATAATATATATATCTATATATATATATATATATATATATATATTCAAATGACTACTCAAATATATGCACCACACATATATTGAAACAAAAATCTTTATAAATTTTTTGAGTATAATATTTGTGGGTAATATTATATGTTTTTTTATTTAAAAAAAAATCTCTGATATCTTTTAATATTCACGTTTCGCTAAATGTTAACCAAAACACAATCAAAATTATATTTATATACAGTATATATATGTAACTAAAAAAATTATTATTATAATTCAATGACAGTATTTAAATAATTATTACAATGAGAGAGAGAGAGAGAGAGACATTAAATTGAATAAAATTTGATTATTATTAATGTTTTCCGTTTATGATTATAACGATTATTATTATTATTATTAAATGCAAAGACAGCACTAAAAAAAACTTTAAGTGAATAAATGAATATATTTTTTTATCTATTTCTTTATACTGTATTTCATCCGTCAATTGCAAACATATATTACTGTAAAATGTTATATTGTTTTTCAAAAAAAAAAATAAATTAATAAATAAATCATTTGAATAGAAAACATTATATTATTTTATTATCTATGGTTAAGATTTATATATTTAATTTTTATATTGATTTTTATTTACGTATAGTTGTAACATTGTAATACATTGACATCAATGTACAGTATTTCTACTGTATATAAATTTACATTCAATTTGCTTCTCATATCCAACTCTCTCTCTCTCTCTCTCTCTCTCTCTTTCTCTCTCTTTATTTCTCATACCGTTCCCCATATTATCTCTTGTATTTCCTCTACAAAAGGAAACATAAATATAGAGAAACAACACAACAAAACAAAACCAAAATATATTATATATATATATATGAATCCAAAAATAAATCTTTTGACGATTCAACGATTTTCTTGTCAATTGTGATAATGACCTCATTTTTCTGTATACAGTCTGTTGTACTGTACATTAAAAAACAGTAGCGAAACAATAGGATAAAACTTTTTTAGATTTACTAATAGAAAATTCATACATAAATGTGTTTTAATATATACATTAGTACTGTATATGCATATCTTTATGAGAGTTAAATTGATGGATAGGGATGTTTATTTGTAGGCACAGGGATTGCATTTGTTATACCATTGACTGTATGTACTGTATATGTAGTTTGCTTGAAAAATTAGAGATAATTTTAAAGCCCACTCACTTTTCTCAACTCTGGTATATCTTTTTAGTTTGGTTTGGTGTATATTATCATTATTATGTTACTAATGTATTAGTAGTTTAATACCCATACCTAACACCCGGAATTAAAATATTAGTCGATGAGTGTGTGTGTTGTGTGTGTGTGTGTGTGTGTGTGTTATTATATAATATTAAACTAGGAATTAAACCGAGAGATGACTAAAATACATTATTGGAGAGAGAGAGAGAGAGAGAGAGAGAGAGAGCACTGGTATGCTATGTATGTATGTGTCGGTTGAAGAGGATACCGAAGTAGGGGGAGATATCAAGAGATACCGGAGCCCATCATATACTAAGTAAGCCTTTTGTGTATCGACTGCACGAGTGGTTATATGAAGGCATAAGAATTAGCCGCAAACTATCTGTTATATCATATTTGGTATGCAATTGGCATTACTGTCAGAGAGAGAGAGAGAGAGAGAGAGAGATCCCTTTCCTTTCTTTATCCATATATTTCCCTCTTTTTCTCACTTACTCTCTTGAATGCCGATTATTATGAATACACGAGTGATCTTCTCTCTCTCTCTCTCTCTCTCTCTCTCTCTCTCTCTCTCTCTCTCTCTCTCTCTTGCAATCATAAGCTCTGTTGCAAAGCCAATGATAACACCAATCTATTGTTACTTCGAGAGCACCGGTATATCATAGATATATTAGTATATGTCTTATGCATCTGTTTTTTATTATTACATTTCAAGTAATTTTTATGTTAAATTCATTTGTCATGCAATGCATTGTCAATGAAAATGGCGAACAACACAACATATAAGCCGAAAACGATTGTTATTCATAGCTAGACATACCCTCTATCTATCAGTCCTCTCATTTTCACATCCATTTCCCACATATACTATACATACTATATATATATATAAATATATATATATATGATATAATCAGAAAATAAGCATATATATATATATATAATTTATATATCGATGACCAACATCAGCAATATCTAACAAAAAATATAAATAAATAAAATTATATTAATGTTAATAATATAAATATAATAATAATAATAATTATTATTATTATTTTAGTACTGTATTATTGTTACAAAATTAACAATATTTTTTTTGCAAATTATATTTTTGTTTTTTTAAATAGCATTTTATAATATAACAAAAAATATAATGATAATATTAATTGTTTTATTATAATAAAACATAATTAACAATAAAATGCATTTAATGCATTACTAATAATATTTGTTTTTATAATTGTGTCATATATTACACGACAATTAATATTTATAATAATAATAATAATAATAATTGTTATTATATCTAATCTAATAATAATTATATTTATAATAATAAACTAAAACTAAACAATAATTAGATTATTAGTCGTTTATTATTATGAACTGAACTTTCTTTTTATATATATGTTTTGGTTTTGCCATACAATACAATACAATATATAAATTATATATAAAAATGCAATTTCAAGTTAATTATATAATAACTAATAATAATAATTATTTATTATTATAATTTATGATTTATAATTGCTTTTAGCGCTTGAAGTAAATGAGCAATTTTATATATATATATATATATACAGTAATGTTATGTTAGTGGGTGCACACAAATAATATATTGTTTTTTTTCATAGATTATTATTATAGCRCACWGAATATAATGCAAAATAAAAAAAAGTAAAATTATATATAAAAGTCAGACATTATATATTCACTATTCAAAACAAATTAATGATTTCGGGCTTAAAATTCATTAATTATAATAAAATGAAACACAGAATAGAAAGAGAGAGAGAGAGAGAGAGAGAGAGAGAATAAAACAAATAAAAWATACACTGAATTTGTTATTAGTTTTTTTTTGTATATATATATATATAGACTATATATTTAGTAATTTTAGTAAAATTTTGTCGGTAATTGCTATTCAAAAATAATAGTTTTTAATTAATCAATACATGTATGACAAAAACCAAGAATAAGTACATTTAAATTTATTTATTTATTTATTTAATGATAATTAGAAATTTGAAGTTAAATAATGTTTTATTTGCCATCATTTGTTTAATTAGTAAAAATAATAATAATAATAAAAACAATACCAAAAATTTTTCTTTAATTGTCTATGAATTTGCAATTAATTATTATTATTTAAATATCTATTTATCATTTTAATTATTTGTTGAAAATATTGTCTTGTTTTTTTAAATACTAATAAATATTTTTTTTGTTTTATAAATTAAAATTATAGATTTACCGATTTTATGAGTGGACAGACACCTTAACAAACTACATATGTTTATTATTAGACAAACAATAATTGGTTTTTTTGTAATTCAAAAAAATAAAATTACAAACAATATATTATAGCCAAATATATATATTAATTAATAAATACTACTTTAATAATGGAAAGCATAACACGTCTGAACAGATCCCGTGACCACCTAAGGGTAGGTCACGTTCAACACAATACAAGTCATTCGGATGATAGCGAACTGTCCGACAATTATAATGTGATCGGCAGTGACCGCCAATACGAACGAATTGGCGATCGGGCCAGCGGTTCGCTAACTGGCCGATCATCGTCGTCGAGATCGTCGTCAAACAATCCGCCGCCTCATCCGATAATCTGTGGTAACGGTACTGTCCTCAAAGCGGCCACACATTATGCCGAGTCAGCCATCTATAGGCCATCCAGAGGTTAGTTGACTTAACTTTTTGATTATTATTATTATATTGATTTTTATTTTGTTAAGAATATTATATTTTATATATAACTATTTGTTTTGTTTGTTTGTTTTATATACAGATTTTAATGATTTAAATAATTTAAATAATCCGATGATCGGTGGAAACGGTACGGTATTAAAGCCGACCGCACCCTATAAAGAGTCGACAATATATCGGCACTCGAGGGGTAATTGATTTGTTAATATATTTTTTTTAACAAAAATATTTAATTAAAATATTATTTGCCTAAAACTCTATAGACTTTAGCGATGCTTTTGCCGATTTAAAATCGGTTCAACACTACGGAGGGCCCAACGATCCCGCGATATACCCAAACACTAGAAGTATACCAAGTAATTGAAAAAAAAAATTTACAATTATTTTATTTAAAAAAAATAAATCTTTATATAAATATTATCAAACAAAACAATAATAATAATTACTATACTGTAAATATAACCTACCGTTCCTTCTCTCACTCAATCAGATTGTAAAACATTGTCCACATTATCAAAGCGCGTGTCGTGCAGTTGGCAGTGCACGGCCATCATGTTTATGGTCCTAACGTTAGTCTTATTAATCATCATAACATTTGTCACGAGTAAGTAGACTGTCCTACATATATATATATATAGTATATATTGATAATTATTAATAATGATCAACAATATATATTTATTTATAATCAACAACAATAATAAACAAAATATGAAAATCCATTATTCACTTTATATTTATATTATATTATTAAAAAAAATAAGTTTATTTGTTTGGCATACAAATCGCAGGGTTAAATCCCTAAATAATTGGAGTCTCGGATTTGATCTACCAGTGCAAGTGTGTGTGTGTGTGTGTGTGTGTGTGTGAGTGTGTGTCTGGCCATTAGATTAATACCTATTTTGTGTTGACATAAGTGGAGAGAGGGAGACCCAGGGATAAGCATTAGTTTTGTGTGTTTGTAATATACAAACTTGTGTATTGTGTGTGTGTATTGATATTATACTATGATTTGTATTATTGTTATATTAGTTTTTTTTTCTTAACTAATCTTTTTTTGTGTCTAAACTTTTGTTAAGTTTTTTTTCTGGAGTGTTGTGTTTGTTTTGGTCTGACTTTATCTCTTAATAATGAAAATCCTTTAATAATATATTATATATATATATATTTATTTTGTATTATCAATAGTTAATATACGGTAACTATATATAATAAAAACATCTCAATTTAAGTATTTTTGTTTTTTATTATTATTATTATTTATTATTTGAGCCTTAATTTTGTGAGTTTTAGCATTTCTTTATATTAAATTTTTCAATTCAAATAAATTTGATTAACTTTTTTATCTCTCTTTTTTTATATATATTGCAGACAGTCTTTAAATAATTGATTTAATATATTATATATATATATATAGTGTGTATTAAAAGCAATTTTTGGTTTAATTTACTTTGACTTCAAATTATATAGTTATTTATATAAAAGTAAAATTGAATTGAATTTATTTTTTGTTATTTTTCTGTTATAATCTCTAATTCGCTATTTTTACTGTATTTCTCCTCGACTTTCATCTTATTTGTTAAAATACTAACTTTTGTTTTTCCTTTTATTTTTTTATTAATAATTAATAAAAAGCTCATTAAGATTACATTAAGCTATAATATAGTTGAGTAAAGTTTTAATGTATGTATGTGTGTGTTTAAATGGGATAAGAGAGAGAGAGAGAGAGAGAGAGAGAGAGAGAGAGAGAGAGAGAGTCATAAGTTATATACTGTACTACTAATTGAAAATAAATTAAATTTTTTTTCCGATGAAAAGTATCATTACTTATAAATGAATATTTTATTATAAGATTTGTTTGTCATCTTTCTGTTGACTTTGTTGTTAGTTGCCATCCCTTACTCACTCACTCACTCACTAACTAACTCACCCGCTGTTCACTCATCTCTCTCATCACTTATTTATTTATAAAACTTATTTACTTTAAGATATATTGCATTACAACTACAACATCTACTACTTATTATTAGTTTGACTTTATTATTATTAACATTAAACATTAAATGGTTTGATCCCAAAAACAATGTTTTAGGTATAATAATATATTTTCATATTATATTCAGTTAATAATAATTTCCAATATTAATAGCATAATAATAATAATAAATTATTATAAAAACAGTTATGTATTTTTAAAAAGTAGAGCAAACAATCCTCATTGTATTAATTTTATAGTTTACAATATAACTGTAAATAAAAAATTCAAATAACAACTAAATGACATCAAATTATTTAATGTATAATAATGTTAATAATTATTGTTAATTTTTTATTTTAAAAAAATCAAATTGAAATATAATTAATTAAAATTGTTTTTAAATCAATAAATAATTTTACACATAGTATAATAATATATACTAAAATAATTACTTTACTACAGTACTAATCAAAAAAACTACCTGTGCTTAACCCATTACCTATAGGCTCAACATTATCATCTGGTGGCGCCCAAGACACTGCCAAATGTTCTGTGATGGTCGACTATATGACCGATACAAACAATAATAATAACAATGAGCTTAAGACAACACAACAACAGCAACATACCGGTGCCACAAGTGCCGGCAAACGTAAGCATATAACCAACTAACTAACTAACTGTCCACCAAAAAAACAAACAAATCTAATTAACCATTTTTTTCTTGAATCTCATATATATATCTATGAAAACTTAGTGCCCAAACCATTATTAGCTAAGACCTATCCGCCAGATCAGAGCCAATACAGTGAAGTGCAATTAGGCAAACGTTTTCAGCATCGGGTGTCCTCTTACGGCCACTGGAATCTTCATCTCATACAATCTGATCCATCACTGGTCAGGTTCAACTTGACACTGCCGGTCGGTGCCACTGTTGGTCTGTATGCGGCCCGCGATTCGGTACCGTCGCACACGAAATACGATTTTATGGAAATTGTCGGCCGAACGGGCGCTGCTGGACGTTATCCACGATCGGCAATGGCCAGTATGATCAACAACAACAACAACAATGACAATAAACAGCAACAGAGTCGCGAGTTTACCCGATTCATGGACAGAGGCCAGTGGTTTTTGTCCGTCTATAACGATGCGCCCGTCATTATCGACTTGTCATTGGTGTTGACCATCGGAGACGCCACAAGTATCGGCTGTCCGTTTGACTGTCACGGACACGGTGTCTGTGTAATGGGTGTTTGCAAATGTGACGACGACTACGCCGGAGATAACTGTGCTTACAGTACGTGTTTTTTTGTTGTTGATATAAACTACTTGTGTTTTAGATATTAATCAATCAATTGGTTTTTCTCTGTTTATTTTAGGGGTCTGTCCCGTCCTGTGTTCAGGTCGTGGCCAATATGTTTCAGGAGAATGTCAGTGTAGTTCCGGATGGAAAGGCAAAGAGTGTCAGCTCCGGGAGGATGAATGCGAAGTACAAGACTGTAGCGGACACGGAGATTGTGTGGACGGCTCTTGTCATTGTTTTCCCGGTTATAAAGGCAAACACTGTGAACAAGGTATGCGATATAACTGTCCCCTAATACAGTAAAATATATGACAGTCCTATTAATAACATTATCTTTTAAAATCTATTTCCTGTTAGTTGACTGCTTAGACCCGGACTGTTCAGCTCATGGCCACTGTGTCGCCGGAATGTGTTTGTGCGGTAAGGGCTGGAAGGGTGCCGACTGTGCCGAACCAGATTCCGAGGCCATTCGATGTCTGCCCGACTGTTCCGGACACGGAAACTTTGATCTTCAGCTCCAACAATGCATTTGCGACGAACGATACACTGGACCCGACTGTTCACAAGGTATGCGATGCGATCTCTTATAACTGAGTAAAATGAACGGATAGACGAACAGTGATAACTAAAACTACCCGTTCCTTCCCTACTATCGATATTAAACAGAACGATGCGATTTGGACTGCGGTAACAACGGTCGCTGTCAGGGCGGCCAATGTCTGTGCGATGACGGCTGGACAGGAGTCAAGTGCGCCGAACGACTGTGCGATCCCCGATGCCTGGAACATGGCCAGTGCAAAAATGGTACATGCCTGTGCATTCAAGGATGGAACGGAAAACATTGTACATTAGGTACCTACCGGTGCTATTGATGATTTCAATCTATATAACTGACCAATTGATTTGATTCTGATTAGATGGATGTCCCAAATCGTGCAACAATCACGGCGAATGTGTCCAGAGGTCAGGCGAATGGACGTGCGAATGTGCTACCGATTTTGGCGGACAGGACTGTAGTGTACCACTGGAACGGGTGTGCGATGACGGCAAAGACAACGACAATGGTTTGTGTCGATCATCTCATGAATATATATATAACTAAATGTAAAAAACAAATTAATTAAAAAAAATTGTTTTTGTTTTGTTTGTACCGTTTAGACGGACTGGTCGACTGTGCCGACCCCGAGTGCTGTTCATCGAAGAGCTGCGACGGCAAACAACTATGTTTTTCGGCTTCCGATCCTCAAGACATACTGCTCCGCAAACAGCCACCGGCAGTGACCGCCAGCTTCTTCCAGAGGATGCAGTTTCTCATCGAAGAAGAATCAGTCCAGAGTTATGCCCACAAAATTGCATTTAACGACAGGTATAATAACATAGCCATCACCTCTACTAGTTTACGATGTGTGTGTAATTTGCCTCCCGTTCCCCCTAACCCTCTCTCTCTCTCTCTCTATCACTCGTATTACTTGTACAACTCTTTATATTAATATAATTAATATTTTTTTAAAAATGATTAACAAATGTATTCAATAAAAAAATATTTTCTATTTCTTTCTAATATCTAACCAAAAAAAAAACAAACAAAAAATAATAACAAAACTAAATAATTGAAGTCTATTTGGAAACCGATTCAACGACAGGTCAGTCCTAATAATCAATCGGTGCTGTCTTTTTATATGTGTTTTGTTATGTTTGGCTGTTTTATTATTGTTGTAATTATTAGCATCCATTGCCTGATCAATTTGTAATTAAAAAAAAATACTTATATATATATATATATATATGTTTTAGTTATTTAATTATTATTTTGTTTTTAAACGCTTTAATTATCATTTAAATATCATATAAATTGCATTTCAAATATACTAAATATACAAAACTAAACTAACTTTTGTTGTTTTATTGCTAACAGTCGAGCTTCGGTAATCAGAGGACAAGTAGTCAATCACGGCGGACAGGGTATTACTGGTGTACGAGTTGGTGTGGCCACCGATCCGATGTTAGGCTTTACGTTGACCCGCGATAGCGGTTGGTTCGATCTGATGGTCAACGGCGGCGGTGCCGTAACATTGCATCTTCAACGGGATCCGTTTCGGCCACAGCAACGAGTAGTGATGGTACCCTGGAATGAGATTGTGGTCATCGAYAGGGTTCAAYTGGTCACCGACGATCGTAATGGCGACGGCCAACAAAAACCAACCATATGTATGGACCACGACTACGATGTCATGAAGCCGACAGTGTTGGCCACTTGGAAACACACTTTTCAGGGCGGATGTGCCGAACAATCGGCACTGTTAGCCGAATCTCGTGTCGTCCAGGAATCGCTACGAATACCCGGAACCGATCTAAACCTTGTCTATCATTCATCGCGAGTCAACGGCTATCTATCAACCATTGAACTACAGCTAACACCCGATCGGATACCGGCTTCACTTCGATTGGTTCACTTGAAGATCGCCATCGAAGGCATACTGTTCGAGAAGACCTTCGAAGCCGATCCGACCATAATGTTTACCTATGCCTGGAATCGACGCAATGTTTACCGTCAAAAAGTTTTCGGTTTGGCCACCGCTACTGTTCACGTAGGCTACCAGTACACCGGTTGCATTGGTAATACCATATGGGATGTCCAAACCGTACAGCTGGCCGGTCACGATATGGCCATTTCGGAGATTGGCGGCTGGAATCTTGACATTCATCATCGATACAACTTTCACGAAGGAATACTCCAGAAGGGCGACGGAACCAATGTCTATCTGAAACAGAAAAGCAAAGTAATGTTGACCACTATGGGCGACGGTCAACAGCGGCCACTTCACTGTCCCTATTGTAACGGCTTAGCTCACGATCAACGTCTGTTGGCACCGGTAGCTCTGGCTTCGTCACCGGACGGTAGCATCTATGTCGGCGACTTTAATCTGGTCAGACGTCTGAAAACCGACGGCACTGTCCAAACGGTTGTCGAACTAAGCGAATCGTCTGTTGCCTATAAGTATCATTTGGCTGTCGGTCCGATCGATGGTAAACTGTATTTCTCCGATCCGGAGAAGCATCAGATACTACGTGCAATCAGTTTGGATCAGATTGCAGATCCGCGAAACAATTTGGAGATTGTTGTCGGCACTGGTGTCAAGTGTTTGCCCGGCGACAGGACTGCCTGCGGTGACGGCCGACTGGCTCGTGACGCTCGACTATCCTATCCAAAGGTTTGGCCATTTCGGCCACTGGAGAGATCTATATAGCAGACGGTACAAACATACGCTACGTTGACACTACAGGAGTCATACATACACTGATTGGCGATCACTATCACAAGAGTCACTGGAAACCGCTTCCCTGTTCGGGATCTATACCATTACAGAAGGTTGCACTCCGTTGGCCAACACAACTGGCCATATCACCCATTGATAACTCGTTGCACATACTCGACGACCATATGGTACTCAAACTAACACAAGACCGTAGACTGCGTGTAATAGCTGGTCGTCCGTCTCATTGTTCGTCAGTGATTACCGGAACGCCCGAAGAGGTCCCGAATCAGGAGTCGGGCGAAGCGCTCGCCGCACAAGTATTTCTCGAAACACCGCAATCGATAGCATTTGGACCGAACGGTGATCTCTATATTGCCGAAAGCGACTCGCAAACCATTAACCGTGTCCGAGTGGTTACGGCAGCTGACGGTCGGATACAGCGATTTGCCGGCGCCGACCTCAAGTGCTCGTGTATGGATGTCCAATGCGAATGCTATTCCGGCGATCTGTTGGCCACTAATGCCAAAATGTCGACAGTAGCTGCCATTACGGCCACACCTGATGGTCGGTTACACATTTGCGACCAGGAAAACCTACGCATACGGACAGTAGTGTCGCCACTGCCCGAACAGAACCCGACGAACGGCGAGTACGAGATTGTTTCGCCACTCGGCGCCGAAGTATACGTATTCAACCGACACGGCCAACACATCAGCACCCGTAGCATCTATACTGGTCATACATTGTATACGTATAGCTATAATGTCAATACGCTTAACGGAAAACTAAGTTCGGTTACCGATGCGGCCGGCAATAAGCTGTACATATTGCGAGACTATACCAATCAAGTGAAGTCCATTGAGAACAGTCAGGGAGGGAAGTGTCGGCTACAGATGTCCCGYTTGGGTATGCTTCAGGCGTTGACCACACCCGACAATTTTGTCACCAAATTTACGTATTACGGCAATACCGATGCACTGTTGGCCACCCGTACCGATTCGTGGACCCGATCCGTAAGCTATCAGTACGACCAATACGGACGACTAACTCGAGCAGTTCGACCGTCGGGCGATATCATCGAAATGAACTACAAGTTGGGTATCGATGGCTCCCGGGTTCGCATCGATCGTAACGCCCGCGAAATGATGCGTCTGGTGATTGAAGGCCAAGAGGTTAGCCGAGTGGCCAACGGTGACGAAGATCAGGCACTGGTACTGCAAAAGCTGAGCTCCAAAGACGCCAAATTTTCAATCAAATGGCCAGACACTAGTGTAACGGAAATTGAATCCCTGGCTTCACCAGTGATTACCGATTTGTGGCCAAAATTGGCCGAAACGTGGCCAATGCCGGTACGCATGAGAATAATTGCCAACGACGAGGTCAGTACCCGAATCGAATGGAAACACTATGTCCGCCGGGGATCGAAAGACAGACAATCGGTTACCGCCACCAGTGGTACCGCCGCTAGTACTAATGGTGACCCGAAACGAATTGCCAGTTTTGGTCGCAAACTCAAAATCAACGGCGAATCCGTATTGGCCGTCGAATACGATCGTGACTCACAACAAGAGATCCTATTGGACCAAAACATGCGACCAGTTGTAAGCGTCTCCTACGACAATGTTGGCCGACCAGTAAAATGGATGTCCAGCCATAATCTGACCGGCGTTACCGTCGAATACGATCGATTTGGTCGTGTGGCTCAGTGGTCACGCGGACAGTTGTCCAACACAATGCAATACGACATTAGCGGCCGATTAGCAGAGTTACGCTATGCCGACAAAACTGGACGTATCTATAAATATTCGGACGCCTCGACCAATCCAAGCGAAATCATTGAACCGAGCGGTAGCCGCTATCTCGTACAGTACGACCAAAGCGGCGGCATTACTGCAGTAATCACACCGGCCGGTCATCGGCACGAAATAGCCCGACAAACATCTCTCGGCTTCTATAAGATACTCTATTTGACACCCGGTATGAAAACACCGTACATCTTGCACTACGACGACAATCATCGGGTGATTGCCAAACTGTTGCCCGAAAACAGCGGACGAGTGATCAACATTTACGGCCGCAGTGGTCAACTTGATGCCCAGTTTGCCGGTGCCGAAAAAACCGAATACACATATCACGAAGGATCCGATTTGTTGAAGTCAGTCAATCGCCAGTTGCCCGACACTACTGACCTGAGAATTGATATGCGTTATCACGACTCTCTAGTCAAAGAGGAAAGGCATCGATTCGGAGCCCGTTCTCCATTCAACAGCTATAAGCTTAGGTACAAATACGGACCGAACTCCAAGATATCGGAAGTCGAGTTTGAACTGCAAGGACGCGGAGTCGAGACACGCAAATACAAGCGACACTCGGCTACCGGCGCTCTGGAAGGTGTCGACAGTTTTGCAATTGTTCGCCGAAATGTCAACAGTCTGCAGATTACCGACGAACGAGCCATGAAAACAGTAGGCACTGACAGCTATGGCCGTCCGGTGCTCATCACACTATCCGTTTGGAATAAGGAGTTGTTTTCGCAAGTAATACACTATCAGCCGATGCGGTCGAGAATTGCCGAATCGCGTACAAGATTCGGATCCGGCTATCAGATGACAAACTATAGCTATACGGCCGACGGCTTTATCGAACAGGTGACCCAATCGGCTGCACCGGTAGCCAAATATGTCTACGATATAGCCGGCGATGTCAAGTCGGTCTGGGAGGGAGAGACACATATGACGATTAGGTATGTCTTATATATGAGAAAAAACAAGTATTTTTTTGTGTCAATCAATAATTAATAATTGTTTTGTTTGTTTGTTTGTGACAGACGTGATGAGTCCGGTCGGGCCAAAGGTTTCGGCGACGGCAGCGACTTGTACTCAGTAGACGAACGCGGATTCATCATCAGCCGTGGTCAGGACAGGTACACGTGGTCGCCAAACGGCGAACTACAATCGGTAACCAAAGACGATCAACGAGTGATTACCTATTACTACGACCACCGACAGCGGCTTATCGGCCGACGCGAGTCATCCGGCAATGTCACACAATTTGTCTACGATAACAGTCAATCAGATCGTGTAACTCACTGTGTAGTTGATGGCCGTATTATCGGCTTTGTGTACGACCCGAACGGTCATCTGGTGGCCATTACTATCGAAAGCACCAAATATTACGTGGCCAGCGACTACATGGGCTCACCGATAGCCGTATTCAACAGCGACGGTATTGTTGTCAAAGAAATTGTACGCAACGTCTGGGGCAAAGTCGTCAAAGACTCGAACCCGACCTTCTGGTTGCCCATTGATTTCCGCGGTGCCATTCGTGACCCGACCACCGGTTTAGTGCACTTTATTGGCGACCGAGTGTACGATCCGCTTGTCGGCCAATATCTGACACCCAATTGGGACCAAATCGAGCGATTAGTTCGGTCACCGGAAAGTTTACATCTCTATCGATTCGAAAACAACGATCCCGTAAACACTGTGGCCTCACGCGGTTGGGATGAGACGCATATGACCTCATTAGCCGAATGGCTTCAACCGTTAGGCGTGTCTGTGGACGACATATTCCCGGCGCAGAGTCGTTCAGTCCGTCGTCAACAGCAAACAGTACCGGTTATATCCGGTCTCGAGTGCCAATTGCGGGCACTGTTGTCCACATTCAGCGAGCTTTCAATTGTCGCCCGCAGTGGCGTCCGATCGGACATTGATTATCGGACAACACTGCCGGCCATCAGTGTTGCCTCATTACCGTCAACACTATCCTCTGTGATTGTGAGTCGCGGCCGACCGCAGACACTCGTCACTACAATAGAATCGGAGACCAGTCCGATGACCGCATCGGTACTGTCGGCTGTGTTCAACAGTACCCGATCGTTGGCCATAAATCTCGGGCATCAGTCACAGGACGAGTTTTTCTTTATCCAGCCCGACGTCACGCGAGCACCGGTCGATTTGGATCAACTCCAACGGCTGGGCTCAATGGTGAACGTCACCCGACCGCCTACCGACCCGTCCGACCCGAGCACTAGTCATACAGTGATGTCCATTAGCGGTAATCTTTTGTTGAACATCCGCTACGGCGTCAGCGCCGACGACGAACTCCGACGAGTTATACGAATGGCCCGCAAGCGAGCCGTAGAGGAGGCCTGGCGTCGGGAGGCCCACTACGTAAAGCTTGGCTTTCGCGGCCTACTCAAGACCGACTGGTCGCCCGATGAGCGCCAGGAACTGATACGCACCGGAATGGTGTCCAAGTACTTCGGTATCGATATTCACGGCATCGAACGCTACCCGCAGTTGGCCGACGACCCGATGAATGTTGTGTTCAAACGCGACGTCCAGTCGCGCAAACGTCGCTCACGACAGCACCGACAGCGGCCACTGGCGTCGGGCGGCGGCGGCGGCTATAATATGATGTCAATTGTTATCAACTCTTAATAAATTTAATATTAATAATAATAATAATAATAAAGTGAATAAAAAAATTATATATAATTTTTAAATACAGAAAAACTTTAATTAGACTGAAATTATAGACAAAATGAAAAAAAAAGATTATTATTGTATGAAAAAAAAGAGAAAATGATTATAACTTTTTTATATATACACTAAACAAATGTGAAAAATACTCGGAAAATAAGTGTTTTTTTTAATAAAATTAAAAAACAAAATATATCTGAAAACAACATACAAAAAAAATCAAACACTAATTTTGTGAAACATTTTTAATATAATTATTATTATTATTGAATCATGTTTTTTTTAATTTAAATATTGTAGTTATAATTTAAGTTAATTATTATTATTATTAAATGTTTTTAATTATTGATAAATATATATATATATATATAATTTTATTTTGTAAATAATTGTAAATAATATTTAAAATAAAAAACACATACAAACACACACACATACACAGTATACATACATACAAACAAACAAATTAATTGTTGAAACTATTGATTAATTAATTAATTATCTTTTAATTATAAATATTTCCTAATATAATGATAATTATATTGCGATATTTACTTTTTTTAAAGTGATTTTTTTTTGTCAAAAAATTTTTAAAAATTATACATGTTAATTAATTAAATTATTAAAAAATTAATTAAATTTAATAATTTGATAAAATGTAAGAAAAAATTTTTGGGCGAAAAACAATTTTTTTTTTTTTGATGATAAAAGAAAATATATCACAAATAATAATAATATAATGTTTTAAATGTTTCGCTATATAAATAAAAATATTATTATAAATGTCGCTTAAAATTTTTAAATGTATCAAATTATTAAATAATAAATTATTTGTATAAATATTTATAATTATTATATATTGACAAAACAAAGCTATTAAAAATTAATAAATTCCTAAAAATTATATATAAATTTATATAAATATATTGAATTAATTAATGTAAAAGTCAAATGAAATTAATTGTAAAGTTTTTTAAAAGAAATTAATATTTAATAAATAAATAAAATTATTTAAAAAAATAATAAAATGTTTATTCATTTAACTTAAATAATATAGTTATTTAAAAAAAATAAAACTATTTGAACTTATTTTACTATTTAATTTTCTATGTTAACTATACTTTAGTTATAGCAACAATTATACTGGTGATTTAACTATTGATATTAAATACTGTAATAAGTTTGGTATTAATTAAAATTTTTAAATATATTTATAGTTAAATATAAATTAATTATATTTTAGGTTTTAGTAATCTATCATAAAATTAATCATTGATTTTAAATAATAATAATAAAAGACTAATAATATAATTATAGTAAAACAAACAATAAGTTCAAAAAAGTTTATTATTATAATTATTATTTTATTAAATTAAATATATTAATAATTCAATTTACAACTACAACAAATAAATTACAGATTTAATTATTAGATTTAATTAAAACATTTAATCAGTAATTATCTAATATTAATAAAATATCAATAATAATAATAATTACTTTTTTGCTATTATTTTGTCGATTTTGTCTTTAATTTTGTTCAACATTTGCGTCTTAATACCGATCTGTTGGCCAATTTCTTGACCGACTATTGAACTGATTTTTCTGGAAATAAAATCAACAGTCTTTGCCATCAATTCTTCATCGTCTGAACCGCCAAAGTCTTGTAATAATTTTAACGTTTTGAATGCATTGTCTGAACTAATCTTATTTGAATACCAATTGAAACACATGGTCTTCAGCGAACCGACCAAATACTTGTCGGCCACAACCAGCAACTCCTGGCAATAGTCGTCCAATTGGTCGCATCGACCCGTATAGAGATAGCGAAGAAACTGTTCAAACACTTGCGGCTCGATATCGTCGATGACTACTTCGGCCGATAGTTTTTCCATACAATCGGTGGTAAACATCTTAGCGAACACTTCCGATCGACAGCTGAGCAACAGTTTTGAGGCATAGAATTCGTGCCGATCTTTGCCAACAATTAGCCGACAATCGCATAGTTCGCGGACACCGAACAACTGATCCGAAGAACACGTCCGAAGCCACGAACAGCCGTCCGTCGACTGACGATATTTTTGATGGACAGTCATGTCGACTGCAATGGACAGTGTATTATCAATCAATAGACTGCCGGTTTGGTTAATCAGATCTTGTTTATTGATCAGCAAATGATAGCTCCAGTAGTTTTCTGTTACATCCAATGTCTTCTGATTGATACGTTGTCTGGCAAATGGCTGTTGATTTTTGTCTATAATAAACACATCGTACTGGACATCAACCGATAGTTCGTCGGTATGTTTCAGACACAAATAGTGTCGGATTTCGTTGCCCTCGCAGTCGATGTATATCCGAAACCGATCGGAACCGATGCCGAAGACATTGCTTTTGAATCGTTTCAATTCAATCCATTTGTTCTGCAGTTCGGACCCGAAGTCGGTAATAGTAACGACAACTTTGCTTTTGAGTTGCAATTTGTTGTCCATCGGCGCGACCGATGTCTCCATTATTGAAGTTATTGAAAAAAAATTTCAATGATTTTTTAAATAAATTGATTTTATGTATTATCTAATTAAAAGTTATTAATTGATTTTTAAATAAACTATTGACTGATTGATTACTCTAAGGGTTTTCAATAAATTTTTAAACTTTTAAATAATTTTTATTAAAAATTTTATTTGTATGTGATTTGATGTGTTATTAATCTAATAGTAAACTAACTGTTTGTATAAATTTATTGTAAAAATTTTTATACGGAAACTTCCGTCCATTCAATTATATATATTTAACTCTAATAATACTGATTATTGTTTTAATAGATTAAATAAATTTTATTAAATGATTAAATGGTTTTTATTTTATCACAATATTTACTAACTATGTATTAGTTATTAATTATTTAAAATATTTAAGTTTTGGCTGATTTCATATTCATTTAGTTATTTATTTTATTTTATGTTTACATTAAATAATTATATAAATAGTTTTTATAGTAATGTTATATTATTTTTTAAAAAAATATTTAGTAAAAGTTGTTTATACATTAGTATTTAAAAACAAATGCTGTATTATTATTAAATAATAATCATATTAATTAACATTTAATTTGTTAATATATTTAAAAATTATATCATATTATGAATTCAATAAAATAGTAAATATAATATATTATTGTTTTATTTGAATTATTTCTATAATTATTTTTTTAATAATGAAATTTTAAATCATAAAAATAAATTCCAGTTTTAAAAAAATTAATTTATCAAAAATAAAAATTATTTGTTTTTATTAAACTTATTACTGTAATATTTACTAGTTTTTATACATTTATTAAAAAAAATTCAAATAACTTATACAATAATTTATAAATATAATATTAGTATCTACTGTCATAAATTATATACTAAATACAATTGTTTATATTAAATTTTATTTTAACATTTAAAATATAAATAATAAAAAAATACCAAATATAATATGTAGTCATATATATAATAAATTTAATTTCTATAATCATTAATTAAATTTAAATATTCCATAATTATGATCTAAAAATTAATAAATATTTTTTTTTTAATTTAGGTTTCGTGCAAATTTATCAAAAACAATAATCATATTTAATAATTATTTATTTATTTTTTGATTAATTATTAAATATTTAAATATATTTTATAAATTATAACAAACATTAGTGCCAACTAAAAAAATTAAAATCTACCCAAAAATATGTAGTTAATTTTTATTATACTAAAATTTAATGTATATTTTTAATATTATAAACATAACTATAAATCTTTAAATATATATAATATGTCTAACGGTATATAAATACCACTGTTTTTTTAAATATCAATTAAATTATATATAATTATTAAAAAAATATAACTATATTAATAATTATCTAAAAAACAAATTTCAATCTAATAATGTTTAACAATAGCTATGTTTTGTTGCTAACTATACTTATACTACAGTCGTCATCATTGAGCCGATATGTTGGGGCCGTCGGACCAGACATTGCAGGCATTGCGGCTAAAAATCCGTTATTTGAAAATATAGTAGGACTGGCATCACTGACAGTGGGTGCTGTCTGTACTACCTGTGTCTGTCTGGCCTTCAATCTATACGACTACTTGGTGTCGGATGTCTTTACAAGAGCAGTCAGCGTTGCCAGAGCCAGAGGAACTGCCGTTTTCGGGTCAGTACTGGATTTCTCAGTCCATACGCTCAAACATTTTGGCCAACGTCTCAACAATTGTTTGCCCGGCAATACTGTCAACCTATGGCTCAATATGTTTGTCAATATGATGTGTTGTGTTGATCCTGATTTGGGCGATCAGGTAATCAAGTTTTATAATAGAAATTTGTTGGGCAAAAATCCAATCAATTTTAAATGTTATAGTGTTAAATGTTCATAAAAAACTAATTAACTAACTGTCCTAATTATATATRTATAATTGTATTATTTAATTTTAAAAATAACTTTAAAGATATATAATTTTATTTTTTAAAAAAAAATTATGTTTAATTATATTATTTATTTAAAACTGTTGCCTAAAATTATTTTATTACTATTTGCTATGTATTTAATCTATTAATCTGTTAATTTTATAAATAAATATTAATATTGAACACTTAGAGATTTTGACTAAAATTTAATTAATTATTTTTTTAAAATAATTTTTAGATTAAACTTAAAAGAAATTTTAAACGATTAAAATTAGTTAATCAAAAAAAAGTGATATAATTGACAGTAATTTAAACTTAATTAAGTAAAACATTTAATTTTTTTTGGGGGGGGGGGTGGATTTTCTGGCATTTTATACTACACTATTATATAAAATTTTATATAAGTTTAAAAAGTTATTAATAAATGTTTTGAAATAAAATATTATCACTTAATTATTTCTAGAAAAATCTAAAATTAATTATAAAWAAATAGCACACTATTATGATTATGATTTTTTACTATTTAATATTTTCTATTATAAATAATAACAAAATTATAATTTTATAATACTGTATTTATTATATTTTTTTAATTTATACACAACATTCATACAACAATTAAAATTAATCAAATGAAATAATTAATAGAAAATAAAATATTAATAAAAAAAACAAAATTAACACTTTTTTATACAAAATATTTCAAATTTTATATTTGCTAAAAAATAATTACTAAAAATAAATGGCTATTTTTTGACAATATTGTTATTGTTGATAAAACATTATTATTATTAGTATTAAAATTAGTTATTATTATTATTATTATTATTTTAGCTACACTTATAGGGCAGTTGTGTGTGTTTAGACAGATTGCAGACAACTTTAAACGATTGGCTAATTTTGGAAACCATTGCATCTTTTTGATCGCGTTTAGTATAGTCATGTGATGTACAGATTATGGATGCTATAGCACTACCGAAACCGCACAGCAGGTTAGCCCGGACACAATCGGACGACTGGGTCCACAAACCTAACAGTGCTGTAATCATATCCGCCTGTCGGGGCAACGACTCCAGATTATGTACACCTTTGACAATACTCGACCAGATTTGCCTATCAATACAGACCATCGATCCGCTAACCAACTGTTTGAATAGCCGTACGGAGTGTTTGATATTACGATCGGGCGGTGCTTGCGGTTTCTGGTTTTGGCTACCGTGTTTGGCACCACCGCCACCGGCGGCCAGATCCATATCGGGAAAGTCGGGTATATCCGATATGTCCTCTAGTTTTTGAAACGATCCCTGCAATAGACAAATGGACTCCAAGTATAGTAGTATTAATATTAGTCTAATTTTTTTCGATACTAATAGATGAAACATTGTCTGAATAGTAACACTGGTTTTACAACCAAAAAAAAAAACTACAATCAGTCCTATCCCTTAACACTTCCACCTATTATTATAATAATGATTATAATAATAATAATAATTTTTATTGTTTGTATTATCACTATATTATTTTAATCATATAATATCACATATGGAAAATTCAAGTAAAAAATAGTTTAATTATAATTTTTAATTAATTTATTGTATGAGAGAGAGAGAGAGAGAGAGAGAGAGAGAGAGAGAGAGAGAGAGTATTAAAAATGGCAAAACTATATAAACAAACAAAATGTCGACAAAAATTTAGTTAAATGATCTTGTTAATATCTAATAAATTGTCTATATTATTGAGTATATTAAAATTGGTATAAAAAAGTGGTTAAAATCATAGTTACTCTAATCTAGCTAAATAWTTTTTTTACTATAATTTATTTAATTGTTACATTTATACTAATAAATTATTAGTAATAATACAATAAACATAAATAATTATTTTATTTTTTTAAATAATAAATAAAGTTAAATTTTTCTGTTTTATTAAAATATTTATTTATATAAAAAATATTTCACTATACAAAAAAAATCTTTGACAAAAAAAAGTTTTATTTAATTTATTAACATTGTTTGTATATGTCTTGAAACAGTTTACAAAAATAACTCTTTGTAGAAAATTAAAATTTTATTTAATAAATTCAATATTTCAATTGAAACTAAATAACAAACAAATTGATAACAATAACAACAATAATGCAAAAGTATTTCTATATATATATATATATATATATATATATATATATTAATAACCGTAAACTTATTGTACTCTCCAATAACTATTGCCCATCACTATAGCATAATACTATATAAGGCCAATATTGTTCACAAATCAAACTAATATTGGGTAAACATTGGGTACTCCTGTGCTTTTAATGGCACTGATTGTCTAACTGTCCAATAGTTTATACAACTGTCAAAAGTAATGGGTTTTTTTTGTTGTTGGTGTTGTTATTGATAATTTGATGATAAAAATTAAATTTATGCTTTTTATATCTGATCAGTAATTATACTTAATTACTTAATTGTTTATTTAAGTATTAACTATAAGGTTATGGAAGAGTTTTATCTAAATCCTAATAACTAAAGAAGATGTACAACAAAACAATAAATTTATGCAAATTTAAGGTACAAGTCATGAGTCCTGAATCATTTGTGACACGCCGTTACCTATCCCTTGCACTGGCGAATCACAAGTTTAATACGAAATCCAAAGGACATAAAAATTAAAAAAAACAATAAAATTTTTATACGGTTTATATAAATAAAATACTCATGTTTAATTATTTACTTATAGTTTTCTGATGCCTATTATGAGCTTTTGGTAGATCTGGAGAAATACAAAAAATATCTACAATTCAGATTATACTGTAGAACTTTACCAACGATTCAGAGAGTGATAACAATTTTTAAGTATAAGGTCATAAGTTATGTGATTATCAGAATAAATATAAAAAATTTTATTTTTGATTTATAGATTTTAAATTTAGAGCACTTATAATATTTTTTATTTATTTTATTTATGTCAAACAAAYATATAAGTATATTAGTTATAACGAAAAAACATATAAATGCAAATATCTACCAACATTGAATAAAATCTAATCATTATTAGTAATGTTTGACCAACTATCAATTTTATTCATACTTAAATCTATTTTGACTAAAGATAAACAATAATCAATTAATTTCCATTTTTTAGATTCATTATTAGTTAATTTACTGTAATCTCATAGATATTTCATCAAATTTAATTTATTTAATAGATCATTATAACCTATTATTAAACCTAATATTATAAATCTCAAAAAAGTAATATTCATTAGAATGAAAAATTTTTAATGATAAAATATTAAAAACAGAGTCAATATAGCTATCACATTTTAATTGTTATAATGTACTTTTATACTATCAGAAATATTATCATTAGCTAAATTATCAAATTAATTTAAATTATATRTTATACTGTAATCACATATTTTAAAAAATTTTAATTTTTGTAAACTTTTATTATGAATCGTTGAAATAATTTTTTAGATTTTAAATGTTATCAAATAATTTAGGTTGATTAGAATAATTTTTCATAATCATATTTTTTCATTAATTTGTTTATCTCATTTCTTATTAAATGATGATCTATGATTAACTATTAATAAATAAATAAATAATAAATTAATATAAAAAAGTTGTTTGCAAATGATAATTATTGTTTAATAATGATATCCAAATTTATATAAGAAAAGAAAATTAAAATTTTGTTAAATTTAAGAAAAACAGTTACCATAATTAAATCAAAAAAAATTAAACCAGAAAATATGATGTTGATCAAATGATTAAAAATGTTGGTCATTTACCACTTCGCCCTTCTCCATACAATTACGAAGTACTATTAAATTTATGCGCCAATTGTGAAGAGTGAGTTCGTAATCGAAGATSTTGTTTTTTACGTAGWTCACATCTGGAAATTCAATCTTATAGTAGACTTTTGCCCAGTTATGAAAAGTATATTGCAATATTATTGAGACAATTAAATAATTAATTAAATATAAAAATTAAATATAAAAAAGACGGGTTCTTATGCTTCCGATGAGTGACTCTAAGTGTTTAGGAGCTTCTTTTCCATCCAATTATCCATGGTGCACTGGGTCTCTTTTTCTAGCGCATCCTCTATCAACTTCCTTAGAATTTCTATTTGGTTGAGGTCCGGAAAGTTTGGTGGCCCGTTCCTCGCAAGTAATCTTTTGTTAATATCGCGGTATGGGAAGGCGCGTTGTCTTGTTGAAAGACAAATTTATGGGGATAGAAGACGTCAACTGTGGACAGACTTTCGTCAAGACTATCTTGATATCTCTCGGCGGTTATTGTTTCCTTGGCCTCAGGCGTATATAGATTAGCATAGTTTATATTTTAACTAATTATTTTAATTAAAATATTTTAATTTCAACTTACAATTGATTTCAAGTTTCACTCGAAACTCGAAAGACTAATACAGAATGTTATCTGTTTGACATTAGTATTGTATCACTACTATACACTATAGGTGATCGACTTATTAGTTTAAAAACCGATACTAAATGGACAAATCATTTTCCGTTCTTAAATCCCTATGATTTTTTTGGATCAAATTTTTTTATTTTCAAACCCCTCCCCCTAATAAAAAAACTAAGAAGATAAAATTATTAATTCATTTATAATTTTAGATAAAACTTTATTTTAATATCTATTATTGAAAATTTTATATATAGATTATATTTATTTATTGCTAGAAATGTGTAATATATTTTGCAAACAAATTTTGACACAAAAATTGGTATTTGAAATGTTATGTGAAGTTATTGAAAGTAAATTTTTGTTTGTTATTATTGGTATAATTAGTGAAATATAAGTTTTTATTATTTTTATTATACAATATTTATTTATTTTTATTTTTTTTAAAAATATTAATAATATTAATTTGCAAATAATTCAAGTTATTTATTGTAAAAAAATTTCCAACTCATTTATACAAACAAAAAATTTCATGAATTAGCAATTTTTTGTTACAATGATTTTAAATTATTTGCAAAAATGTTTTTCAAAAAAAATTTATATTTTTAAAACATATTTCTAATAAAATAAATATTTTTTAAAAGTAAAGTGTAAATATTTTTTATAGCTTAATGTAATTACATATAAATTATTTTCAAATTAATTAATAATCTATTATATTATTGATAATAAACTAAATTATTATTATTATTTAAACTAAACTATTTTTATTATAGTTTAAAAATAACTGGAAATTAATTTTAATTGTTTATTGACTTAAAATTAATTTTACAAAAACAAAACATTTAAAAACAAATGGCTGACAACAGTATAGCCGATAGTATTCGTGAATTTTATTCAATGTACGACAAAATTGTTGACAAACTATTGGCCAACGAATCGCTGGGCTCAGACATCCAAGTGCTGAGACCTGTACTCAAGAAAATGTATGACTATTTGATTCAACGCCAAGATTTTGACGATTGTCTCGAAATACTGATAACAACTTATCGTATACTAAGTGGTCATAAAACAATTAGTASCCGTTTTGACCTGGAGTTAGACCGRCCACTRTATCCGCTACTGTGGGCACTGGTATTTGTGATGGCACACGACGACACCCACGAAGATATTRTCGACGGATCCGACACACGTAACGGTCAGCCGTGTTGGCACACATTAGTATGTATTTGTTAATAGTAGACAACTGTCCATCAATTGAAATCAAAAGTTATTATTCATAGCTATATATTATGTTATTTGTAATGTTGTTTAATATTTATATGACTTGAAGTTTTTTTTTCTAAAATAAATAAATTTCTTTAAATAATATAGATTTAATTAAWATTAAWAATTTAATTTAATTTTAGCCCACTATTGGTATGTCAGCCGTTAACGACACTACAATTTTGGTGTCGACAGCCTATAAAATAGTCAAACTTTAYTATAGAGATCATCCAAATTATATTGAAATGATTGACATCATTAGCAAGGTACATTATAAACTTGATATTATTTATTATTATTATGAAAAATTTGTTAGATTTATAAATTTAATTTAAAAAATYAWTTTTTTAATCTAACTAATCRTGTATTAATTATAAACAAAAAAAATCAAAACATATGTACAAATAGTTTATCTGATATTTATTTTTAATTGTTAATTGATGCTGATCAATTTATTTTWTATGTATGTATGTAATAGTGTATAGAAAATACAGCTTATGGTAGACTGTTGGACGTGCAATTTACACGTGCAAACAACAAGCATGATCTAAAAACATTTACCATGGACAATTACAGATTGCTTAAAAAATACAAATATGGCTATTTTACAATAACAACATTTCTATTGGGTAATAATAATTAGTACATACAGGGTAGATTTTTAAATTTGTATATTTATAATTTAAATATAWATAAATATATTTATATAATTTATTAAGTATTTACGTGCGTACCGGACAATCAATTGATTAAACATTTGTCGACCGAAATACTAGACAATATGGTCGAACCAGTGGGCAGTTTGTTAGGCGCCATCAACGAGTTGGGTCGGTTGGACACATTGGACACCGATATCGAGTCTGGAAAATGCACCTGGCTATTTGTGCGGGCATTGCAATTGGCTGGCAATTCAGCCGATAGCCAACAACAGTCAAAATTGTTGGCCAATAACTATGGCATCGGCAATGACCCGATAGCTGTTCAATGTATTAGACATTTGTATCGAGATTTGAATGTTGCCGACGATTTGGTTGTGTATATCAAACACGAATTGAATGGTTTGCAAGAAAAATGTCGGGATATTACTGGCGATGAAACCCTCAAACTATTGTTTACTAATTTTGTAAACTATTTTGAAAAATTGGCAAATATTTAATTATTTTCATATTTTATTATATATATATATATACTGTATATATAACTTCTATATAAACTCTATAGTAATATAATTATATGAAATAAATAAAAATTAAAAATAATATTATAAATTTTGGTTAATTATAATAATAAAAATTTAAAAAAWTTAAATGTAGTTATGTTTTATTAATTGCAAATTACAAAAATCGACATTTGTAATGTTCAAATTGATGTAACGGTATGGGCGCTACAGTGATGCCTATCCCAAACATGAAGCCATATTAGCCAAAACAATACTGAAACACGTAAGCGCAGGATCACAGCAAAGATCACCACATGATCTTAAGCCAGGTTTACACGTCCGATAGGGTAATGGTTTTTCTTCCTGTTTTTGTTGTTGTACTGGTTTTGCTGATGTTTTAGTTATTTTGTTGTTGTTTTTTGGTTTAGTAGTAGGTTTAGCTAATTAATAATAATTAGTTTATATATATATATAAAGTAAATATAAAATAAAAACTTTGTGGACTAAATTTTTTTTTTTTAATATTTAATTAATTATAATCAAATTAATTAGTTTACACTAACCAAACAATGATCCAAACGATAACATTATTATTGCCAACAAAATAATAATAATAATCGGACGAATTTGCATAATAGAGTATAATTAATTAAATATTATTAGAAGTTAATGTATATATTTTAKTAAATATTTAATYWAATAACAAAATTTTGAGCTAGTAATAATAATTAAATTAATAATTTTTTTTTWAAAAAGTCCTTATGCAATTTATTAATTAACATTAGCAAACATACGGGTAAAATATATATATATATATATATATATATATAATTTAAATACCTAATTAAAATATAGACATTTTGTTCATATGTGAAATAATTTTTGAAAAAAATAATTATTAAATAAATATTTATATTATTTTATTTGGTTAKCTAAAAATTTTGTTTTAATAATAAACATTTTGATAATTAATTTTCCAATTCTTATTATTGTTTTAATAATAATATTTTAATAATAAATAATTAATTAAATATATATATATATATATTTAAAGTTTGAATTTTAATTATAACATAAAAACTGTTAACATGTATTTAACAACAATTTTAAACACACATGAAAAATATATTTTAAAAATCTGGTATATATATATATTGTAAACGGTTAAAATCGATGTTTTACCCGGGAATCAAATTTAGTTGATTTAATTATGTTATTCCAATAAAAAATAGATGAGACTAGTGGTCCCGGTTATTTTAACGGGAACGGGTTGTTCGTGGTCAAATTGACCCAATTAATTTTATTATTATCTAATTAAATTTATAGTTGGTTTCCGAGAGAATTGGGGRGGGGGGGGTTGCGGGTATAATTTAACATAAATACACGATTTTCGGGTATATATATATATCGTGAATTGATCGATACAATCGGTTTAAATACAGTATTTACTAAGTCTAGTAAGATATTTATTTAAAAAACAATAGATTTTAGAGTATAATATAGTAAATTTTTAATTAATAAATTTTTTTAGTTAATTTATGTTTAATACATAGTATTAATAAAAATATACTAATAATTAGTTTTTATATTTATAAAATTAATTAATTATATTTATTTAAAAAATATAAATTTAATTTAAAAAATATAAATTTAATTTAAAAAATATATATTTAATTTAATTTAATATAAATTTAAATATAAATTTAAAAACAATTTTTATTCGTAAACTTAAAATATAATATAAATATATATATWTTTTTTGCTAAGTATTAGTGACAATATTATAATTTAAAACATAAAAAATAATATTATAATAAATTTTTTAATTTAAGACTCAAACTGTAAGTTAGAGTAGTTATAAATTACTATAAAATTAGACTTGACTAACTATTTTGTGGATTTAGATTTTAAGTTAAAACATGTTTAAAATACATAGTATTAATAAAAATATACTAATAATTTAGTTTAAACAATACTTTAATTTTTAGGCATTTATGTACTTAATATGTATTTCAAAAAAAACTAAAAATAGTTATGCAATAATTTTCTAACTTATWGCTTAATAATAAAAATGTTGACATTAAATAAAAATTTGCATTATAATCTCAGTTTTAATAAACAAATTTATACAATMATTTAATATATATATATATATTTTATAATTTTATCAAATCATTTTCAAAAAAAGAGCATTGAATTACAAGTAATTTATAAGTAGTGTCTTGATTTTCAACTAAATAAATTATTTTGTCGGTTTAACGCTTATAAAGTAACCGAAGTTGACCAGTGGACGCTATTTCCGAAATTTTATTATAACTATAAATAACTATTTGTTGGGTTAGCAACTATAAAAACTTATAAATAACTATTTCAGTTATTTTGAAAAATATAAGCATAAAATTGTAAAATATTGCTCAAATATATATATATATATATTATTAAAATAACTGTTATTTATCATAATAAATATTTATTTTATTTATATAAATCATTTTTGTAAATAGAAAACAAGTAAATTATATATCAGTTGAAATATTTATAAGAAAATAAATAACTATTTCAATAACTAACTATTACATACATTTTAAATAATTTTAACAACTAACGTTTTTTAGCAACTATTATAAAACTATTTAATAGAGTTAATAATCAATACACTATATATACAAAATATATACAAATATTTAAATATAATTGTCTAGACTAATTTTTTTATTAATTTACATATTAATTAAAATGTAAATATTTTAATAAATTATTTTATTTACATAAATATTATGTTAGTATAAAATTCTTGAATTATATATAAAATTAATATATTTAAAAAAAAGTATAAAAGCAGCAATAGTTTGTGTGTATAAATTCATATCAAAATTAAGTTAATAAAAAATTATTATTATTTTATTTTTTAATTATAAATTCACTAAAACAATGCGTTCAGTTATTATTTTAGTTATTATGATTGGCTTATTGTTTGGTTTGTATTTATACAAAAAATAGATATAATAAAATATTATACTAAAATATATTTATTATTTTTTATATAAAACAATTTTTATAATACTATTTATTAACAATAGCTGCAACAATGGCAGATGATCCCGATTGTAACCCTGGTGAAAAAATATGTGGTAATACCTGCTGTGAACCGGGACAGTTGTGTGCCGCTATTGGTCTACTCGGTGTAGCCATATGTTTGGGTTTGGGTTAACTCTAGCAATTCAAAGCACGTTTAAATTGTAATTAATTTTAAATGCAAACTAATATAAAATTCCAGTTAAATATATAAATTATATGTTTTATTAAGAAATATTTGTAATACTTTATTTATAAATAAAATTTGTTTTTTATTAATAAATGAAATTCTAATACATTTTAATTTGTTTATAATGTATTTTATAATTATACTTTTAATGATGTATTTTATCTATTAAAATATCAAAATTATAGTCAAAAACTAAATATAATATTTATATTATTAATAATAATGTATATAACAACTTTAGATTTTGGTGTAAACAATATTATTTATATACAATATTAGTATTTAATTAAAATAATAAAAAATATTAATATTTCAAAATCAAAACTACTATCATTGTAATTATAAATGTTTATGTACTAAATGTATCCATGTAAAAAATATTAAATTTCAATTTTTACATTTTTGTCGCCATTTTGTAATGTTTATAGAAGATAGGTCATTTTAGATGCTAATCCCCTAACCGAATCTAAAATTATAAATTCAAATTTTTGCAAAATTACATGCGAGACACACATACACATACACATACACATACACATACACATACACATACACATACACATACACATACACATACACATACACATACACATACACATACACATACACATACACATACACATACACATACACATACACATACACATACACATACACATACACATACACATACACACATACACATACACATACACATACACATACACATACACATACACATACACATACACATACACATACACATACACATACACATACACATACACATACACATACACATACACATACACATACACATACACATACACATACACATACACATACACATACACATACACATACACATACACATACACATACACATACACATACACATACACATACACATACACATACACATACACATACACATACACATACACATACACATACACATACACATACACATACTTAAACAATACCATACAATATTGTTACAATATAATACAAATGTAGACATTATACAATATAATAATTTATATTTATATTTAAGTTAAATTGGTTTATTAAACTTGCAATTGAAATTGTCATAATTAAGTAATTTTAATTAAAAAAATAGTTTGTCTAAAAATCTAGCAAATCATTTAATATTTTTTGCACTGGTTGTAGTAGTTAATTGACATAATTTTTTTTAAATAGTTTCACAACTATTTTTATTTGAATAATATTTGCATAATAATAATTATTATGTAAAAATATTCAAATACTACTTGAATAAACCAATAATGCTAATGACATTATATTGAAATTTATGATAGTATTAAATATTTGAATTACCTAACATATCTATATATTTAAAAAAAGTATATAAGCTCAAAGTTTGATAGTTAGAAAAATATTAGAAATAAATACTAATTAATTAATTATAAAAAATCATTTTTTTTAATTTAATTATTACAATGCGTTCAGTTATTATTTTCYTAGCAATTGTTGGACTATTTATTGGTATATTAGATATATTATAATAATTTTTTTTTGTAGAATCTTTAATAAATAATTTATAAATATTTATTATTAAATAATTTTTTATGACCTAGCTACAACAATGGCCCAGGGTGTACCAGCAGTGTGTGCTGAGGGACAACGACAATGTGGTGCCAGTTGTTGTGAGCCGGGACAGGCGTGTATTAATGTTGGACTACTCGGTGCTGCTATATGTTTGGGTTTGGGATAACTCTATCATAGAGATTCCGGCCATTATTATTATTTTTTAGTAAAATAATGTTTAATTAGTTAGAATAACATATTTGAACTAAAATATTATAAAGTTTTATCAATTTATTAATAAATTATTTTTAAAATTTATATTTTGTTTTTTATTTTATTAATAATAATAATATGTTTTTATTTTATTTATGTATATTAAAAATTAGTTTTTAATATACATATTTAAAAAAAATAATTTATTCAAATATTGATAAGACAGACCATTTTAGATGCTTATGCATAAACACATGCATTTTTTSTTTGTTTTTTTTTGAATGTTTATTAATGTTTATTTGTCTATTATTTTTTAGCTAGTTCAAAATAATAAATAATTATATGTTAATAATAGACWATAAATACTGTTAGACTAAATTATATTGTAGTAGTAGTAGTAGTAGTAGTAGTAGTAGTAGTAGTAGTAGTAGTAGTATACTAACCAAACACCAATACAAACAACAATATCATTATTGCCAACAAAATATTAATATTAATAATCGGACGCATATTATGATATAAATTAAATAAATTAAAATTATATAAATGAAAATTGTATTATATTTTATTTGTTATTAATGTTAGTATTTTTTACTAATAGCAAACTTCAGTATAATTTAATAACAATAATAAATATTTATTGCTATTAATATCGTAACTAATTATTAACTAACATATGAGTCAATTAATTTCTATATTTAGTATTTTTTAGAGATTAATAATAATTTAATTTATTTATATGTAAATTAAATAGAAAAGTCTATTGAAAAAAATAATTAGTAAAAATATTTATTGAATAATTTATTTAATAATAAATATTTTTTAAAATAAATAATTAATTTTGAAAATTCTAATTGATTTTTACGAAAGTTTTAATAATAAAAAACAATTTAAAAAATATTGTATATTTAGTATAACATTAATAAAATTAAAATAACGTAAACAATGTTAATTATAATTGTATTTTTATAATTAAAATTTATCGAAAAACAAAATCATTATTTGAATTTATTATTAAATTTTATAACTATTATTTATTTATTTTTAATTTTTTAATTAAAAATAACTTTGTATACAATTAACCCAATAGTTATTTAACCCAAACCCAAACATATACCGATACCGATAATACTTACACTAATACACGCCCTTCCCTTTTCACAGCACTTGTCTCCGCAAACTCTTTCGCCAATTTTAAAATTACAAATTATTTTTGGATATTGTTGTTGATATACAGGAACCATATTATCAGCTAAATCATGGAAAAAATCAATTAAATTATTACTTATATATATACACATACATACACATAGACACACACACCACATTACACACCTACCTTCACATACCCACACATACCCACACATACCCACACATACCCACACATACCCACACATACCCACACATACCCACACATACCCACACATACCCACACATACCCACACATACCCACACATACCCACACATACCCACACATACCCACACATACCCACACATACCCACACATACCCACACATACCCACACATACCCACACATACCCACACATACCCACACATACCCACACATACCCACACATACCCACACATACCCACACATACCCACACATACCCACACATACCCACACATAACCACATAAACTTCATACACCATTCATACACACACACACACACACATAATACTTGTAAAAGTTAGCCTTATTTCACACATATATTTGCAATACTAATATTTATACATTTATCTATCGGATCGCATGATTTTCGATTAACTGATGACATTAATGGTTGTGATTGTTGTTGTTGTTGTAATAGTTTTACTTGTTTTTCAATCATTTTGTTGTTTGTATGTCTATTTGCTATAATTGTTCAGTAAAAAAATATATATAAAGTTAATAATAGATGATAAATACTATATGTTAGACTAAATTATATATAGAAAGTTAATTTATGATAATTTTATTATATTAAAAAAATATTAATAGTAGTAGTAATAGTATACCAACCATACAATAATCCAAACAATAATATCATAGCCAGCAAAATATTAATAGTAATAATAATTGGACGCATATTATACTAAAAATTAACTAAATTAAAATAATTGTATTATATTTTATTTGTTGTTTACTGTTARTATTTTTTTGCTAATATAAAACTACAGTACAATCTAATAATAATAAAGTAATTTTTAATTTGYTATACTAAATATTGCTATCAGTAACTAATTATTAGCTAACTATTTATCAAACATATGGTTCATGTAATTTCTATATTTAGTATTTTTTTATAAAATAAATAGAAAATAATTATGTTCAAAAAAAATAAAATAATTAATACATAATATATAATTAATAWGTCATTTAAATATTGAAAAGACTAAATTATTTCTAGTATTATATTAGTTGCCATACAATAGGCTACAAAACAACAACAAAAAACATCATTATTGTTAACTAAATATTAAAAGTCAGACWCATTTGCATAAAATATTATATAAAAAAATTATCTGGATAAATTTTACTTTAAATTAGTTTATTTAATCTTTCTATTAATATTTTTTCCAATAATAATAATAACGTTTTTTGTTTGTTTAAAAATACCYAAATATGCAATTTATTTCTATCGCAAGTAATTATTACTTATCATTGATAAACATATGGAAAAATAATTTAATAGTTTAGTATTATTTTTATAAATTAATAATAATTCATAAGTAAGTAAGTAAATAAGATATTTATTTTATAATTTATACTTTATTTATTTATTAAAAATTATATCTCAATTTATATTGCTTGAACATAATATATTATTTAAAAAAAATATATTTAATATATTATATATTTATTATAACAATAACATTAATAAAATTAAAAAACAATTATTAATTATAATTAGAATTTAGAGTTAAAATTTATTTTATAAAACTAACTTTTAATAAATAAATTTATTACTAACTTTAAGTTTTTAAAAATTTCAATCTTACTTTTTTAGTTTTTTATTTAATTAAACTACTCCAATCATTAAGTACAAAAATTATTTATATTTAAGTATTCATAACAATAATTTCATTGACAACATGATAACATATTATAGTTATAAAATTTTTATTAACAAAAAATAGATGTATTAAAATAATTACAATAAAATTGTAAATGTTTAATAATATTTATTTAGACAATTATTAATACTAAATATCTAATTTCTATTTATATAAAAAACTACAACAACATTATTTAATTAACTAAAAAATTTTCTAACTAATAATAAAACTAATAAATTTTTATTCAAAACTAATTATTCTAACAAAAAAAAACATAATTACTTAAAAAAAATCTAATAATAATAACCGGTATCTCCAATGATAGAGTTATCCCAAACCCAAACATACGGCAACACCGAGTAGACCAACATTAACACACGCCTGTCCCGGCTCACAACAATTGGCACCACATTGTCGTTGTCCCTCAGCACAGATAGCTGGTACACCCTGGGCCATTGTTTATGCTAAAAGTTATAAAATAAAATTCAATAAAAAATTATTTATAAAATTATATATATATTTATATAAATTACCACAAAATAGGCCAATTATGACAATAAAAACAATAAGCGAACGCATTGTATAAACAAAATTAATTAAATACAAAATAAGTACAATTAGTTGTTTATAATATTAATTATTTGTATTTTTTAGATACTTATATACTTTTTTTTAAATAAAAAATTTTGTTGCCATATAATTGAAAATTTAACCCCTAACATAAGTTATTTAATATATAGACTAATTAGGTGATAAAATTTAAATAAAATTTATTTGTCTATTATTTAAATTTAATTAATTATTTAAAAAAAACTTTTATATTAGATACTAATAATTATAGTATAAAATAGTCTAGACAAATAAATTTGAATATATGTAAATTTAGCAATAATTATTTTACATAAATAACTAAAAATTCAATGCACTTTTTTCTTGAATGATTTAATAAATTTTTAAATAACAAATATTTATATTTAAATTATTTACATATAGTACTTGAATATTTTAGTTTATTAAACCTAAAAATTATAATGCAAATTTTTTATGTAATATCAAATAATATGCAAATAATATATACATTGTTTACTTAGCAATAAACTATCAAAATTAATTGTGTTATTAATTTGAAATACATAAATATTTTTAAAAAAAAATTAACAAATACTTTTTATAACTATTTATTAATAATTTCATTATTAAAATAATAGAAATATGATATAATTTTGATACATAACATTAAATATATATTCTGGTAAATATACACACAATTAGTTAGTGATTATGTATTAAAAAATATTATTTAATTTTATAAAAAAAATTTTACTATATTTTTTATTGCCTGAACGGCAAACAAACATTTATTTGGCCACAAACTGCGGCACAATTAATACAATTAGGACAGCCCTATATCATCCCCTATACTGTCGCTGAAATAACACATCAGTAGGTACCGAGTGATAGGGTTTTAAAAAAAATAATAGACATTAACTAATCGATAACCAGGTGTCGTAAAAATTATTTTTCCGATTAAACAAACAAAAAATATAAACAAAATTGCAATCATTATTAAATTATTATTTGATTACTTCAACTAAACAATTGTATACTTGATTTTAGTTTTACTTGTTTTAATTTTTAAAAAATTTTTATTAATAATATTGATTTTTAATTAATTTCTAACAAACTATTTTTTCTGTAATTCAAAATTTTTATAAATACATACAAATAAATATGTAAAATAATTTATTAACATGTTTAGAAAATTTTTATATGTCTATTATTTAAATTTTTTAGTTAATAAAATAAATTTATTACAATTCATAAACAACATCAATATATTAAAGTAACTATTGATTTTTTTAAATAACATTTTGATAAAATTTTCATATATTATATATWTTTATATTCAAATAATTTATTTTAACTAACTAAACGTGATTAATAATATATACTGTATATATATATATACTGTATATATATATATATATATATATATATATATATATATATATATATATATATATATATATATATATATACGGTATATATATATATATATATATATATATATATATATATATATATATATATATATATAATTTGTGTAATATATATGTTATTATGATTTAGCCACTTCCTAGACATACAGCAACACCGAGTAGGCCAACATGGATACACAATTGTCCTGGCTCACAACATGCATTTCCACATGGTTTTTGTCCCTGATCACAAAGTGCTGGTATACCCTGGGCCATTGTTGTTGAAGCTAGGTCAAAAAAATATATRTATGATATAAATATTTCTAAACAATACACAATATAAAATACTAATAAAAAGTATTTTATTATAACTTATATATATATATATATATATAATATACCAAAAAATAGTCCAACAATTGCAATTAAAATAATAACCGAACGCATTGTAGTATAAAATTAAAATATTAAAAAATATATATTAAAGTATATTAAATAATAATTTAATAGTATTTTTCCCGTTTTTGTTAGTAACAAACTATGAGCTTATATACTTTTTTTTTGAATACATAACCAGTTGAAAATGCTAGAAAGCATTTCCAGAAATACAAAAACATGAATTGCATAAATAAGTTGATAATCAAATAAAACTTAACTTTAGTCATGTAGGGTATCAAAATGACTAAGTATGACAAATAAATTCAAATTTAGTTACTTTAGATTACGTAATCGATCCGGTTGTACAACAATATTGTTTATCTAAAAATTTGTTTTTTCATAAAATTTTGGTACCATTTTTTTTTTATATACCATTCCCAAGATATAAGGAGTAAATAACTGGAAATCTAAAAATTTACCAGATTGTCCGAAAATTTTAAAAATATAATCCCTAAAATATCTAAAAAACCCAAAAAAATATATCTGTTTTGGAATGAGTTATCAACAATGAGTTATTTTATTTACACAATTTTCAATTAAATACAAATTTGACATTGATATATTTTTATGACACCTAATTAGTTTAAATATTATTTTTGTAAGCTTGCATATTTCTAATACATATTTTTTTATCATGCTGATCCCTTATACTTAATACTTTCATAAACTAATTTAAAATCAAAAAAAATTCAAAATTAGAAAATAAAATGCTAGACATACAAAAAAAAATTCTCGTATAGATATCAGAAAACAAAACTTTTAAATTTTAACTTTGAATATACAGTATATGTTAGGTTAATACAAATATTTCAAATACTAGCATAAATTACAATATGCATGACATTAGCATTATTGGTGTTTTTATGTAATATTTGAATTTTTTTACATAATAAATCAGATTAGTATTAGTATATTATATAATAAATTAAATAAAAAATAGTTGACAAACTATTTAAAATATTTATATCTATAAAGCAATAAAATTACTGTAAAAATATATATATTGAATGATTTGCTAGATTTATAGACATATTAGATTTTTTTTTTATTATTATAATTACTTAACTATTATAAAACAATTTGTAGTTGTTAGCTTAATGATTTAATAATAAATTTATATAGATTTTATTTGTCTATTATTTATATAAATTTATACATAAAAGTTTTTTAAAAAATTAATTTAATTTTATTTTATTTATTTAAAAAATTCCAACAAACTTTCAAAAAAAWTGTTTTCTGTAATGYATGTGTGTGTGTGTGTGTGTGTGTGTGTGTGTGTGTGTGTGTGTGTGTGTGTTTGTCGCATGCGTTTATACATCAGCAGCTAAAATGACCTGTCATATGTATAACTAAACTATAATTATAAATTACATTATAAACAAATTAAAATATATTAAAATATCAAAATTTTATTAATAAAAAATWAAATAAATTTTGTTTAGAAAAATAAAATATTACAATTATTTCCTAATAAAACAATTATTCAAATTTAAACTGAAATTTTATATTAGTTTGCATTTAAAATTAATTACAATTTAAACGCGCTTTGAATTACCACTTAACCCGTACCCAAACATATGGCTACACCGAGTAGACCAATAGCGGCACACAACTGTCCCGGTTCACAGCAGGTATTACCACATATTTTTTCACCAGGGTTACATGAGGGTAATTGAGCCATTGTTGTCGCTATAGATAATAAATGGTATTAGTAGTATATACCATACTTGACACGGATTAATTCGTAACGTATTTGTGAAAGGCCCCAATTTGTCTTTTCAAATGAAACTTCACATTGTATATGATTGTATGTGGATGTGTTTGTGTTCATATATATATATATATATTATAAAGTTATATAAGTTATACATTTTATATATTTTATTTCAGTATTGTATATTGGTAATTTATAAAAAAAAATTTCATAATACTATTAGAATGTTATTCTAATAATATCTTATGTCACGTGTAACATGTTATGTTAGATTACGTGTAACGATTAATTTACTATATATATATATATAACAAATAAAAAATAAGACTACTTATTTTGCATTATATATAAAATTTACAATATAACTATGCATATTTAAATTAAAACTAACATTAATTAATAATAAAACTAAGTTCTACATAACATTTACATAATTTACATTGTTATACAACACTACCTTTATATTACTTATTAACATAACATCATAATTATCAGCATATACATAAATAAACGATTTATATTTCATGAATTTAATTTACTCAATAATATAGCATTACTTTATTTAACTACATTAACCTTTACAATTTAATTATATAATTATATTTTGTATAATTATAATTTGTATGATTATATTTTGTATATCTATTTTTATATAATTATATTTTGTATAATTATTTTTATACAAGTATTTTTATATAATCATATATTGTATAATTATTTTTTGTATAATTATTTTTACATAATTTTTTTGTACAATTATATTTTGTACAATTATATTTTGTATAATTATTTTTATATAATTATATTTTGTAAATCTATTTTTAAATAATTATTTTTTGTACAATTATTATTTTGTATAATTATTTTGTTTAATTATTTTTTATAATAATAATATTAATATAATTATATTTATATAATTACTTTTTGTATAATTAATTTTAAATAAAAATTATTATTATTATTTTCTTTATAACTATTTTATTATTACAACTACGTCATTAGTATTACTGTTATAACTATAATTCATAACATTATTACTACATTACAATACACTACTACTACACCACATTCATAAATTACTGTTATTTATTACTGTTACATCACATTACTATCATTCATTAATAATTTTTTCAATAATTTGCAATATTACAAATATATTAAAAAATATCACTGTATCACAAGTATATAAATAATATACAATTTGCATAATATATTAATATATTTTTTTTTAAATAATAATTTTTTGTGTAATTTTTTAATTATTATAAGTATTGAATTTGTTTGTGTTTAATTATGCGCCTATTTTTGGAATTAAATTTTGTTTTTGTTTTTTTTATTTTATTATTTTATTTTTATTAGTTTATTAAATAAAAAATACATGTTTATTAATGGTTACAATTTATTATTTTATTCAGTGAATTCATCAATATATCCAAATGGAATAGTTTGGTAATATGGATGATATGTGACAATAACTCTTTTCTCAGATACAGCTCTATATAACTTATTAATCTTTTCGGTATAAACGTTATGAACTTTATCTGTTCTAAAACATAACTGTTTAGCTGTTGTTGTAAATATTTGATTAATAAAATAATTTTCAGCTGTTTTGGCTATCAAATCAAAGTTAATTTCAGCCTTAAGTTCATTTGTTATAGCTATTCCTTTTACTTTGCATTTATTTATAGCCGTTCCATTTGCTAGTCTAACGCGATAGCCATAATTTTTTGGTCCACAGGAAGCAAATGAGTCAATATATGCATTGGCACCGTAATCCTTTTCAATTTCGTCAGACATATCACCTAAAAAATCACCTGTTATCGGATCGTACCAGTTTTTAGTGACATCGTGTTTGTATATTACTGAATCAGTGTCAAAATATTTGACACGTCCAGCTGAAGAATTTTCAATTTTATCCAGTTCTTTATATAAATGAATCCTCGCATTTGCCGTCACCATTGATCCCAATGCGATTGATGTGTTACCGGCATTACAATAACTATCATCAATGCATTTATAATTAACAATAATATTTTTCTCATTAGGCATTATTTCACCTAATAGTAATAAAAAAATAATTAATAAGTAATTTAATAAATAAATAATATATAAAATAATTTACCTTTAATAACATATTTTGCATCAGTGATGATTCTTCTATAATCATCATATTGGATACATATTTTAGTTTTCATTTGATTGGGTCGTTGAGCTAATTTACCCCAAAGACTGTTAAGCATAAGCTTTGCAATAAAACGCAAGCCAGGGTTTTTCTCCATTTTGTCAAATTCAAGTTCAACGTTTTCGCGGACTCTGTATTCTGTTATATAATTTTGTTTATCTTCATTTGTTATACATGTTGATGGCCATCCAGAAGCTTCGGTTTTGATTTTAAGCCACTTATTGATATATTCTTTGAATATATCATCTGTTCTTTGCTCATAATGTAGTACTTCATATATTTTTTCAATTTTATACCCTTTAGTTATAGCCAATTTCAACTCTTCAGAGTACCAAGAGCCAATAAGGCATCTCTCTCTGTCTGAATGAGAGCAATGATCTATCTTATCAGAAGCACATAAACCACATAATGCAAAAACCAATTTATTGTTTTTTAATCGCATTGGTAAGACAGGGATATATAAAGCTTTTGGCGGTAGGACTTTGCACTTTATAAACCCAAAATATCCATTAATGTTATGTGACGAAAATTCACTTAATACTATTGGGTGCCCTATAGGGTATTCACATTTGGAGAGTACAGTAGGGTAAAGACTGCAGACATCTTTATATTTTATTATTTCATTTTCTTTGCAGTCATCATTGAAAAATAAATTATTTGTTCGCCCACCATAAAAACTTTCACGGATATCTACATGACCGATTTTATTCATTTTTGCATAATATCTCTGACGCAATGGATAGTATTGCCTTAGTTCATCATCTGTGTTCAATTCGTTTTTGAACTCGTGCTCCCAAATTAAGGTAACTTGATATCCTTGTCTTTGAAAATACTGTAACTGAAAAAATAATATAATTAGTAGTGTTATAAGTAGTCAGTGCCATTGCAATGATATACTGATTAATGTTTTAAAGCTATAATTATTTCAATACAAAAGTGATTTTTGTTTGTGTTTAAATTTACTAAAGTGAATTTAACACAACGCTTAGTTTTATTTTTATTTAATTAATTATATTTGCAAACCAATGTTTGCTTAATACTAAAATCTAGAATTCACTTTTAAAAATGTATTTAAGTGTTTTACAGAAAAGTGAATAGTAAACACCTACTTTTAAGCAAAGTTTTGTTTTATTTTTATTTAGTATTTCACTGTTAAAATAATGCATTGAAATGTTATACAGAACAGTGAGTAGTAAACTCCTACTTTTAAGCAAAGTTTTATTTTATTTTTACTCTGTATTTCACAGTTAAAATAATGTATTGAAATGTTATACAGAAAAATGAATAGTTTACGCCCAGGGATTAAAGCTGACTCAATACGACCTGATTATTTCTCACGTACACTTTAGTATAAATAGAGGTGTCTTTCAGACACCAAAGTGGGTTCTCTTCTGAGATCAGTTCTCAGTTCTCTTCGGAGATCTCTTCGGAGTTTCTCTGGGAGTACTACAATGTATAACTGTTTATAAGATGAAATAAAAGTATTTGCATATTACTTTGTGTGTATTACTTACTCGTCGCGGCTGGTGGTCTTGGATTGCGTCATGGATTACACTATCGATGTTATACTGATGAAAGCTGACCGCAAGAAAGATTACATCATGGATAACATTATCGATTGAGTCATGGAAGTACACCATGGATTACGTCATGGATGGTATTATGGATCACATATGGCTTCACTACAGGCCCATTGGTCCTACAGGCTCAACAGTCCTATAGGATACAGTTAACATAAAGGATAGCAATCGAACGCCGCGTCGATGGGAGTCGTCCACTTATTACGTAAGCGAATACTATATAGAAGGGAACTCCGGTACTGTGTCCGCTACACGGTAGGATCTGACTGGTCCGACCAAAGACAAGTGTTGACACGTGATGACGTTGAGTAAACCTTATCATTGAGTAACCTATTATAAGCTATGCAAAAGTAAGCGCTATGATAGGTTAACTCAGATATAGTAATAAGTCACAAGACAAACTGGTCAACTGTTATACTGACCACCTGGTCCACTGACCAAGGTCGAAGGTCGAAGGTCAGAGGTCAGAGGTCAGAGGTCAGAGGTCAGAGGTCAGAGGTCAGAGGTCAGAGGTCAGAGGTCAGAGGTCAGAGGTCAAGGTCACATGTCCAAGGTCAAGGTCACTCGTCCAAGGTCAAGGTCACACGTCCAAGGTCAAGGTCACATGTCCAAGGTCAAGGTCACCTATACAAGGTCAAGGTCATCGAGATCTGGAAATCGGGTTTTATGTACTGATACCAATGGTACTTGTTGGAGACCAGTATGACAAGTAGTTATGGAGATATCAAGGAAAACATGTTTACTAAACAGACCTTAAAACTAGACTTTGTACCAATCAGTTGGATATCCGTACGGTAGTATTATACGGATAGTTTATGCAAGAAACAGCATAAACTAAAACAGTCGGTCGACTAAATACACAAATCAACACATATAGCTTTGTACACAACCAGTGATAGGAGATCCGCTCGCTCCTTAAGCCACATACCGTTACAGTTAATAATGCTGGTACGTGCAGGGCAAAGTAAGGGCTTAATCTTTAAGTAATAGTAGGGTTTACATCACGGGTTAGTGGACACTCATAGTGTTCACATATAAAATAGACCCGTGATAACCCCACTTCCCTTGCATTTGGTGGCAGCGTTGGAGGATTTCGAATACCCAAAAGAAACAATACGTATATACCAAATGTCCCTTACATTTGGTTTCAGCGATGGTGGGATGCGATATTCCACAAAAAAAACACAACACGCTTAACCACATGTTCCTTACACTTGGTTACATCGTTGGAGGATACGAAATCCTAAAAGAAACAAAATACGTTTTAACCTAATGTTGCTTACATTTGGTGGAAGCAGTGGAGGATGCAAATTTCCACAAAATACAAATTTATGGATTCACCGATATGTTATACAAACTACTGAAATGAACTAACCAAATATCCGAATAATACGTAATTACTAGAGACGTATAAACCAAAAGTCACTCGCATTTGGTGACAGTACTAAAGAATTTGAATAAAAGAGATTAACATAACCAGACTGGCGCTGAGTCCGAGCCATATGGCTTTGGGCGTAGCTGGTATATACATACATTGAACTTCAACCTTTCGTCGTGGATCGAATATACTGATTAAAGCACATTGGTAATTTTTAAACCGTTTACATAATTTGGTTAAATCAGTATAGCTATACATTTGGTATATCGGTTATACATTCACGTATGTTATCGGACACATAGTTTATGACAAAACGCTAGTCTATGGGACGTGAGGCATAGTTCTATTGCACTCCCAAAATACAAAGCAAAGTAATCATAAACTATAGAACTCTATTGTAGTGGCCGATAGCGCTGTGTATACATGTATCACTGCTTATATTCAATACATTATACTGAACTGATAAACCATTTTATGTACTCAACGCTCATTTAAACGCATGAGCATCAAGATGAAGCCAACACCTAACAACCACACTACGTTAAAACATAAGTAATTATTTTAATAATGGCTGACAATAACGATACCATACAACTTGTCATGAGAATAGTAAATGTAAACACGAATGCTACGAAGCCATCTACTGGTACATCAAAGCAAACTACATTTCACGTACTAGTTAATTTGGACCTGCTCTTATTTGGACTTGATGTTGGTATACGACTTGGTTTAACTGTAAACTTCAGCAGTCGTAACGTTACCGCTCGCATTATGTAAACATAGACGTGTTTTCACACAGCACGACACAGACATTTGAAGAATTCTAGTTGTTAAGCACAAGATTATTACGGTTTCGCAATTTGACTCAGTCCTTACCGCCGACATTAAAATGAATACGACGTCATTGTAAAAATGATTCGAGAGAAGGCAAAGGACGTAAAATTAAGAATAGCCAATATGCTTTCCTGGTTATTATGGTATCATAGAAAGACGGTGGAGAACAATTAAGCATAAATTATAGAAGACAACGATATTGCTATAGATGACAAATTGCGGATGACGAATCACTGAAGTGTTAGACCGCCTTAAGGCGCTCGTTATTTTAAAACACTTGATGTGACTTGGGGTTACTGGCATATCGAAATGGTTCAGACAACAGATTTTGGCACACATGAAAACCATAATGAATATCTGCTGACATATTAGATACTAAGATACGTGAAGAAAAACTAACATTAAAGAAAAAAGCTAAACATTATACAGCATTAACAAAGAAAGGTATTACATTTCTTTGGGGATCAAAACACGAAAAAACATTCAAAATACAATGAATGGGATTCAAAAGAGAAATAAAAGAAGTTTCATCAGACGAGATTTAATAGAAGAAGATAATCATGATTATTAGGAGATTTTAAAAGACAAATCCTAGAAGACTAACATGACAATGAGTAATCCGGAACTCAATTAGGATTTAGAAAGAGATAAAATTAAAGAATTTTTGAACTCACTGTGTAGTCAATCATAAGTTATTAAATAACTGAGTCATGTCAGTTAAATGAAGAAATGCTGCAGCTGATTGATACCATTAATTTATTTGAAATAATCGAAGTAGATAATTTGGGCCGTCGCTTCGAAATGGAATTTCAAAAATGAAAATTGATTGACCTAATTTATAAAAATGAAGACATAGTGAGAAAGCGTACAAACCTATTATAGAAAATGGTTTGTTGATGAAGTTCTGACGTGATATGGCGCCATAACGATAATACAGTTGGTCAGATACTTCATTGAAGATTTCATAAGAAATCTTAGATCCTCCATTTGCATACACCATATAATCAACAGTAAAATAAATTTGCGGAGAAAATTTGAAACTGTACATCGCAATTTTATCGATATATGGATGTGAAGACTAGTACCAATAAACGTATTTTTATAAAGTCCGCGTGTATTTGCTTTTGGTATTATTATTTGGAGGATGGAAGAGATTTGGTTCAAAGAAAAATAATGAATGCGTTTAACGATGATAAATCCCGTTATAGCGCTGACATCGCGATGTTACACACAAGGAGTAGATTTGGTGTCTCTACACAATCCTTCGGAGTAAGGTCTTAGTACCTATTTATGGAACCAATTGATAGGCCCATACATGATTAAGAAGCGGCAAATTTGTACACGACTGAGATGACAATTAAGAAAAAATTTAATTGTGTCGATCGACGAGTTTTACAATGCAATTACAAATAATTGAGAAGAATAGATCGCCGATAGAGGCAATTCAATGAGACTTAAATTTAATTTGACATTGACAACTTGAAGATGACAATTATGAATATAATTGTGTCGATCGACGAGACTTAAAATGGAATAGCAAAACATTAAGAAGAAAAGATCGCCGATAGAGGCAATTCAATGAGATATAGATTTCACATGACTTAGAAACCATGATGATGATAAATAAGAAAATTAATTAATTATGTCACTCGACGTGCTTTGCAATGAAATTACAGTACATTAAGATGAATAGAACGCCGATAGAGGCAATTCAATGAGATATAATGGGAATAAACAAGTGATCACTATTTAGAATTCTAAGTTATATAAGATGAGTAAAAAAGATTTTAATAAATGAATTTGTTATAGGAATCATAAGTTAAAGAATTCGTACATTAGAACATTTATAGGCCTATTAAAATGTATAATCGTACGCAATTTAAACCATTTGATTTGTTAAAACTATAACGTCATTAGTAAAATTTATATTTAGATTTTTAATAATTAAATTTAAAGATAGAGAAAGAGATAATTGTTAACATTAGTTGTTAATTAATAAATGTTATAAAGAAATAATAAATAATAATGGTCAACCAAACGACAACCTTGGCAGATATGGGTCAAGAATCAAGCACAAGAAGCCAACGGTTAATTAAAAATCGTATTACAGATGATTTCTGTTATTTGGCTAAACCATTTAAAGCAAATGAAATGAAAAGTTGGATAATCCAAGTATACATGTTAATTGAAACTTAAAAATTAATTAATTTCGTAAAATAAGTGGATAAAGATTTTATAATTATAATAAATTCTGAAAAATAAACTGGTGAATATGTAATAATCGATGACTTGAAGATGACTGCAATATTGTTTCAAGACATTCGCAATCGAAAGAAATTGGTATTAAATACCGAATATAGAGTCGATTTATTATGGATAACGATACGAAGACCACTACAAAATAATTTATCAACATAGTCCACTTTTATAAACTGATTGAAGCATAATTTAAGGAATCCTATGAAAAACAAGTTTATTATAAATAAGAAAAAACAAGATGACATTGGTGAATTTATCAAATATAGTTGGTTTATTATAAAATGAATAAACCGATACGAAGCTGAGTAAGAAATCGAATATTATATTGGTTGATAATGGGTATGAAGATGTTGACTAGAAATTACAAATAAAATGAATAATGAAAAAGACGATAACAAACAAACGGACAGATTGTACGTCATTAATTAAAATAGCTTAAATTTATTTATGTAATGCTTGAAATTTTGAAATTTGTAATTAGTTTATAAAAATTAATTGTAAACTATTGTGTACATGAGGGGTAGTTATGAACCAGACGTAATTTCTTAATTACGCATCTGAGGACAGATGCAGACTTGAAGGGGCGGAA